TATATATATATATATATATATATATATATATATATATATATATATATTTATTTATTTATTTATTTATTTATTTATTTATATATGAAGAAACCATCCATAGAACCTGACCTAACTTTGTTGGGCACCACTGTAATCCTCGGGAATTGACACGAGCACTGTACGACTGTTACTGACTCATTTGGAGAGCTTGAATCCTCGTTTACTGCACATTTCAACTCTTTTACCGTTTGCACTGCATCTTTCTCTGAGGCAAGAGATTTTAAATCTGTCACCCACATAAAAACGATTGACCGTATCAGTCACTCCAGGTGGAAATTGTTGTGCGTCGTCATCTGCCATTCTCCTCAAAGCATATTTTGCACAGCTTGGTGATGAAATAGCTCCACTTTCATTCTGTATTTCCATGACATGCTTTTCTGTAAGATCAGGCCCCTGAAGAAGCTGACCATCCAGTGATGTTACTTTATATGTTGCTCCACAGTCAAACACAAAGTTTAACTTGCTTTTCTGGGATGATAAACTTCATGATGTGTAATGCACCACACCTTTCCATCACTTTGTCTTAAATCCTTTGCAGGCACAATTTCAGCATATCCTTGGTCTATCGTGTTGTTTAGAAAAGTGTATTCATAGTGACAGTCTTTTGCAAACCTTTGTTTGAGGCTCTGGAACACAGTGGTCATTTGGCACAATGGGTTTGTCCTTTTTAAAAAGGTAAATCAACATAACAATAATTTCCCATCAGTTTTGTTGCACTATAGACAATGACGTGAAGATCCTCGGGACATGTCAACCTGCACCTCTGCTGCTCTTTCATTCAAGTCATGGTTATACGGATTAACCAGCATGTGCTTAAGATGTTAAACCGAGATCATATTGGCTCTTACAACAGCACAGATGTTGCTGTTGTTGCATCCAGTACGCAGTGGTCCATTGATGAAACAGATTATTTTAGTCCTGACAGCGTATGGTCCATCATTCACAGTGTTTATCAGCTCCCATAGCTCCATACATTCATAGCATCAGTTCCACATCTGCATTAATGTCACGAAGCTTAACATCTTTCAGATGATGCCACTGATCAGCGTCCTCCTGGCAAGGAACCTTCTCAGTTTTCAAAGGCATGGTCTTCTGAGTTAAACCATCTGGTAATTTGATGAAGCTGTTAACTCAGACACTTCCAAGTCAAATAATATGCAGGTACTGACTTTTTTTTTTCTGACCCATTGTTCTCAGTAGTGTAAAATGTAAGCAGTCACTCCAGTTGTCTGTTGTAACCTTCGCTGCATTTTCATAAATGACCTGTTTTAAAGAGGGTCTCCATCAAACACAGGTATGTTTCTTGATGGAAGAGCAGAAAAAATGGTTTTGCTTAACATGCAGCTTTCTCCTTTTGCAGCTTTTCTTCTTGAGCGTCAATTAAATGTAATTTCTTTAACGCAGCGACGCGCTCGACTTTAACGAACGTGGAGGATGTAGAGGGAACCTGTGATTGTTGTGATGATGACTCTGAGTGAGTGACTTCTGGATGTCTTTCTTTAGAACGTGTTACTCTTTGATCATCTGGGTTATCATCTTTTATCATTAAGTTTGCACATAGTTGTACTGCAGCCAGCCTACAGGGGGCGCTGTTTCTGTTTCAGGTTAAATGTTGTGCTAGCTGTCAGCCAAGCTAGCTAAACCTTTGAGTTGGCAATGTACATTATGTAAAAGAAAAGTTTGTTTCTCGCCACTTATGAACACTACAAATAAATAAGTGTATTTGAATGGAATTAAGATAACTTACTTTAATAAATGTAGCATTAACACCATAAATATGCAGTAAGCTAGCACTGAGATAGCATCTGATTGGTGCTAATGTCATGCTAATCTTTATTGGGAGGGTAAAATTTTACTATTATCTTTTTTTTTAATTGAGTAAATTCCATCCATCCATTATCTTTACCCATTTCTTCCTTTTCGGGCTGAGTATTGAAATTAAACTACAGAAAATGCATTGCAGTGTGAATGCTTATAGCTGAAGAACTTGCTGAAAATAGCAAAAAATAACATGCTGAAAATGTAAAACAAGCAGGAGAAAGCAGAACAAAAAAGTTGAAATGAGTGCAACAAATGTGGAATTAGCTGAAAAGGCTAATATTAGCAACAAAACAAAAAACAGCTAAAATAGTGGCTGAAATAATTGAAACCAGCCGAAATAAGCTGAAAGGAACATAAATTGAAATTAGTAGAAATAATTTAAACAGACTACAGTAGCAGAAATTTCCATGAAAAACTTGAATTTGTCTGAAAACAGCTGAAATTAGCTAAAATATGCTAAAAAAATCTAGCTGAAAAGGTCCAACAAACTTAAATAAGCATAAGAAAACAGAAAGAACACGTTTGCCAAATTAGGCTGAAAGACAGAAATGAACACAAAAAATGGAAATGACATTATAAAAGCTGAAATTAGCATAAAACCAGCTGAAAAGTAGCTAGAAATTGCAGAAAGAAGCTGAAATTACCAGAGGGAAGTGGAGAGAGCACATTTTTGATGGCTGAAAACGTTTGAAAAGAAAATGGAATTAGTTGAAAAGGCTAAAATTAGCACAAACAAAACGGCTGAAATAGTAGCTGAAATAGAAGAAAAAGCTGAAACTTGCAAAAATAAGCTGAAAGGAGCATAACAAGCTGCAATTAGCAGAAATAAGTTAGAAGAAGCACAAATGTGTTGTAGTTAGCAGAAAGAATCTGAAAGGAGCACAAACCAGCTGAAATAAATAGTTGAAAAATGTTTAAATTTGCACAAGGAAGCTGAAAGAAGCTGAAGCAGAACAAAACGTGAAAGGAGCAGTAAAAGGCTGTAAACAGATTCAAATATATGAAGGATTTAAAATGAGCTCATTCATTTTCTATGGGTAAAAAAAGTGGCAGAAAAGGCTAAATATTTCCAAAAAGTACAGCAGGATTGTCCTGAAAGAGCTGAACGTTTTAATATATGTTAAAATAGCACAAACATTGTGGAACGAGAAAGATGCTGAAAAGTGTGAAGAAAAATGGATCACAATAGTGTGAATGCTTCATAAACAGACTCACAATAGTGTGCTCTCTCTCCTTGTTGTCCTGTCATGACTGCTGGTGGGGTTTAAAGCTGGTCGCGTGTCTCGGTCGCTCTCCACTCCTCCTCCTCTTCCTCCTCCTGCTCGCATTCACCTTTCTGAGCTGAACACCAGCTGATGCTCCACAGATCCAGTCCTGGGTGCGAGTCCCATGCCGGACCGAACCGAGGTCTTCATCTGAGCAGGACCGGAGGAGCGACGAGGGGAGAACCCGCCTTCTCCTTTCCTCTCATCCATGCGCTCATTTTACCTCCGACCGCCGGACTCCTTTAAAGGAAAACTCATCTTGGACCGTTTTGTCACGGAGGTAATTATTCACGAATTATCTAAAGTCTCACGCGCATCTTTTGATACAAGAAGCAAGAAATATACTATTTAAATATTTAGAATGAATAACAGAAACAGGCCGTTTACTTTTTTTTAAATAAGTTAATAAATAGCGTCTGCACTACTTTTGAGTGTTTGGGAGCGCTTTGTGTTTTTAAAAAAATATTTTATTCAGCATTTAAGTAGAAATCAAGACGTGATTTCTGTTTTGCACTGATCGGAGCAGAACTTTCAGAACCATGGACAGCTCCTTAATGTGTGTGATGCTTCTAGAAAATACTTTGTTATAGATGTTTTGTTGTTGTTGTTGTTGTTGTTGTTGTTGTTGTTGTTGTTGTTGTTGTTGTTGTTGTTGTTGTTTTAGTGGCATTACGTTATTCTTGTTGTTCTTTGTCAATTTAAAACCAACTAATCAAACAAGGGAGTGAATATTTCACAGGTGCTAGCTTCCACTTTACTCTAATGGGATAAGTAAAGATCTGTTATTGATTTCCATTGTAACCAAACGTTTTGCTAGTTTTAAATATTAGCTAAATGGTTTATTTTTTTCAATATTTAAATTATGCTTTCTTCATGTGTGATACAAACTATTTTATGGAAGCTGACCAGTTCAGATAAAGACCAATTATGGAGATAATTAAACCACAGAGCTGGTTTTACGGTGAACTTTTAGCCTAAAATCTCTTTTGACTTTGAATGAATAAGAGCAGATGTTCTACAAAATATTCGGATGAATGCCTAAATCCTTCCTATACTAAATAATTTATGATTAACTGGTTACAGGAAAACATCTGCTTGTTCTAAAAGAGTTTACCATAGATCAGTTTATAATTCTATAATTCGTGTCATGAAACATTTGCAGCAAATGACAGGATGAAGGTTCACAGCGTGTTCTTGTTTTGACCCTCCTTTCTTTCTCTCTTTGCTCAGGACGGAGTGAAGCGATGAATGAGTCGTTCATGGTGAACGAGTCGTTTGTGGTGAACGACTCGTCTGTGACTCCCGCGAGCGGAGAGTCTCTCCCGTGGATAGAGGCGGAGTCGTCTGGCCACAACGGCAGCTTGGAATTCTCCACCGCCCCGTTCGATTTTCCCATCAACCCATGGGACATTATGCTGTGCATGTCCGGCACCGTCATCGCCTGTGAGAACGCCATAGTGGTAGCCATCATCTTCTACACGCCCACTTTGAGGGCTCCCATGTTCGTGCTGATTGGGAGCCTGGCTACAGCAGACCTGCTGGCCGGCATGGGATTAATCCTGAACTTTGTGTTTCAGTACGTCATCTCCTCTGAGACCATCAGCCTCATCACAGTGGGCTTTCTAGTGACGTCTTTCACTGCTTCCATCAGCAGTCTTTTGGCCATCACTGTGGACCGTTACTTCTCCCTCTACAATGCCCTGACGTACTTCTCAGAGAAGACGCTGCAGTACGTGCACCTCATGCTGATTGGGACTTGGGGGGTGTCTCTGTTGCTGGGCTTGCTGCCGGTGCTCGGCTGGAACTGCCTGCACGAGCCGGCTTCCTGCAGCATTGTCCGCCCTTTGACCCGGACCAATGTCATGCTCTTGGCCACCTCCTTTTTCACCATCTTCGTGCTCATGCTAACCCTCTACTTTAAGATCTGCAAGATTGTGTGCCACCACGCCCACCAGATTGCCCTCCAACAGCACTTCTTCGCCACGTCTCATTACGTCGCCACCAAAAAAGGCGTATCCACTTTAGCCATCATCTTGGGGACTTTTGGCGCCAGCTGGCTCCCTTTTGCCATCTATTGTCTGGTTGGTGAAAAGGAGTATCCGTCAGTGTACACGTATGCTACACTGCTTCCAGCAACCTACAACTCCATGATCAACCCCATCATCTATGCCTACAGAAACACAGAGATCCAGCGCTCCATCTACATGCTTCTCTGTGGCTGCTTTCAGGCAAAAGCATACCGCTCCAGGTCGCCGAGTGAGGTCTAAAGCAGAGCTCTTCATATGTGTGGGCGTGTTTACGTGTGTGTGTGAAAAGACTGAGCAAAAACACAAACACTGACAATCTGCTTAGAGTCGACCGTGAATGCGACACAGGTATGAACGGGGCATGCGTACTGTAACTGCACTTTAATACGTCTCAACACGACTTTTGGACGAGCGTTCAGAGATGCTGTGAACAAGAAATCCATTTGTTTGTTTGTGTTTTTAAAGAAAACAAGCTGTGAATGTATTTAAAGGATTCAAAAAGGAATGAAAACTTAAATCTTGCACTTTATGAAGTGTTTTTTTTTTTTTTTTTAATACCAAAGCAGTATTGTTCAACTTATGTGCTTAAAACGTTTGGAATGGTGTGTAGACTGTGCCATTTCCCCCCTATTTTGAATTTGTTTTGTCTTTGATGTCCTTTTTATAGAAGAGAAATAAAGGCATAAAATCAACACGTGTCTACTGTTATTTCAAAAGTGTGCTTTTCAACATGCTTTTCTTTTCCTTCTCTACTGCCTTACCTCGTGTCAGCCTCCCTTTCACAAAAGCGAAGGTGGTATGAAGAGACTAACGGCGCACCGAGACAGCAAGCACCTCACTCTTGAAAATGGCTTCGATTTGCACCCACACATATCGTTCTTGCATCATTTAGTCTGTGTCATGGGTTAAACATGTAAAGATGCCACGAACATGAAAGCATCTAGTGTGGTTAAGTTTACTTATTAACCCCCTTGGCGCCCTTTCAAGAAGAGTAGAAAAACACGTACAAATGAAATCGAAACTGCCCGACACAGTCTGCTTTATGTTGAACGATGGGATCTGATCCACGCTGCAAGGCGCAGCGGGTAAGAAAGCGTTTTACAAACTTGCCTTAATGCTCTTCTTCTTATCAACATCTCCAGTTATGACTCACAACCAAAGTAGCTGCTGACACGTGGACGTGCGTGTGACAAAGCGCATGATAATAGGCCCAGTCTCCCCGCATCACCTGTTTTTGTAAAGACTGAGCCACAAATGCAGCAGATTGTCTGTCAGGCTGTTGAAACAGGTAGCACTTTACATCAGAGAGCCTCAGAGGAGCGGAGGATGCTTCTGCAAACCAATAGACCTGAAGGCATGCTTTAATTTTTCAACTGATTCTTTGTAACCCTTATACATTTGAGAATATGTCGGGTTTTTATGACAACTATAGTAAACGCTGGTGGTGACAGTAATGTTCAGTCTTTAACGTGGCATATTCCATAAATACAAATAAACTTCTCAAGGTTCTTATGAACCCCTTTGGTGTCAGTCTAAAGTAAACAAAATTACTAATCTGATACAAGCTGATGCTTGATGTGAGCAGATGTTAAGCTACAATCCCAATTCCATAAATGTTGGAACATACAATACATCAAATTGCAGATCTCACAAGCCCATATTTTACTCACCATAGTAGACACTTCAAATGTTTAAACTAAGAAATTGCACAATTTCTTGTAAAAAATTGATGAATTTGAATCTGATGGCCGCGACACATGTCAAAAAAGTTGAGCAAAGGAAAACAAAATGCTGTTAATGTACTGAAAGGAAACTACAGTTGGAGCATTTCACAGGTTAGGTTAAGTAGTAACAGATCAGGAAGAGGACTAGGTATAAAAAGAGCATTTTAGAGAGGTTCTTAGAAGTACAGATGGGCAAAGGTTCACCAGTTTACAACAAAATACTTCTAAAAATAGTGGAATAATTTTAGAATTATGTTCCACAATGGATAATTGGGAATCATTTGGCTATCATCCCCAAATCTCAAATGAGTAGAAAAGGAGGCTCCGTGTATACATTCCCGTCTACCTGGATGCTTGAGTGCCTGCCCACTGAAATCCTGAAACTGGCAGGAAACAAGGCTCGCGACAGCAGAAGGACTGGGATTGTCCCCCAACACCTACAGCCAGTTGTCCGCAGCGACAAGGAGCTCAGCAGGCTGCTGGGAGGAGTGACCATCACTCTAGGATGAGTTCTGCCCAGCAGGCAGTCATGCAGCGTGTGAGAACCCAGAGGCCAGCCAAGTCTGGGTGGACGGATCGGACGAAATCTGCGGTCATTTCCTTCAAATCTGCAGTGGGACTGCCCTTTACAAGAGATCCTTCCTTCCCACAGCCATCAGTATCTATAACAACTCTTTAATGAATCGATGATAACAAGTTACAACAACATTTAATTTCCCTTTGCGATTTATAAAGTATTTTTGAACTGAATTGTATCTGCAAGTTAAAGCTCTATCATGCAAAAAAAAGAGGCCATACGTGAACACCATCCAAAAACGTCACTGTCTTCTCTGGACCAAAGCTCCTGTAAAATGGACTGAGGCAAAGTGAAAAACTGTTGTGTGGACAGGTGAATCAATATTTTAAACTCTTTTTAGAAACCATGCTCTCCATACCAAAGAGAACAGGGACCATCCAGCCTGTTATCAGCACATACTTCTAATCCAGGCTTCTCTGGTGATATGGGGGTGCATTAGTGCCTATGACAAGGGCAGCACAAATAAATGTAAAGGCACTATCAACGCTAACATCTTTTTTTTTTAATTAAGAAAGGCTTACATATTTCAGCAGGACGATGCTAAACCCACACTGTATCCATTACAACAGCATGACTTTGTAGTAGAAGAGTCCAGGTGCTGAACTGGACTTTTCGAACACCAGACCGCTCATCCTTTAGAACAACTTGGAGCTTCATGAAACAAAACAAATATTTCAAAGAAGACCTGGGCCTGTTGAACAGCTAGAGCCCTACATCAGACAAAAATGGGACAGCAGTCCCCTTTAAAAACTCCATCAACAAGTCCCCTCAGTTGCTGTGTCCCTGAATGGTTTTTCTTGCTTAACAACTTTCTTGTTTTTCCTTTTAATTCTGTTACCGTTTACAATTTGTTCAGTTTTGTTGAGACACATTCTGATTCATTGCCATTTTCTGCTGGTATTCACTGTTAGATTGTGTCCTTCAAGTCCGCTCTTTTTTTTTTTTTTAATCGCTTCAAAGTTAGATTGTTTTTTTCCCTCCCCATTAAATGCTGTATTTGATGGACAGCATCCTCCCACTTCTACTGCAGCAGCAGCTCTCAAACAACACAGAGGTGACTGCACGTGCTCCTTCTACAAGCTGTTGCTGTAACCGTGTCCAAAGCTGCCTTCAGTCAACTCACGGCTCAACACAAAGTGGGATAAAGGTGACGGGTGTTGAAGGCCACTAATGGACCGCGCAACGAGGGGCTGGCCACTCTGACAGCAGGAGGTGTTTGTTTAACCTGTTTTTTTCTCCTCCTCCAACTCAACAGATGTTGCTTTTGATCATCCACCAAATCAAGCAAAGAGAAAAAAATCTGTTTTTTTTTTTAGAGTTTTAAAGATAAATAGTGCGTGACACGTGCTGTTCAGAGTCTGAATACATGATGTTTTACACAGAGAGACACTTTAAAGTGACTGTCATGTTAAAACGTTGTAGTCCAGGTGCTGAGTCTAAAACTTTACAGAAAAAACCCACAAAAATCCACTGTTTGTTGTTGATGTTGTGGTGTGCTCACATGAGCATGTTGAAAATGTGCCTAAATCATACAAGGAAACGGGACTAAAGTATGTATTTCCATGTTAATTTTAATGTTTTTCCCGATGAAAACGTCATTTTGCACTTGTGAAGTTCAAGCATTTTTTGTTGTTGTTCTAAAGCAACACAGGATACATGTGCACTGCATGTTCTTCAACATGTTAAACGAACATGTCAGACGTAAAAACGTGTGATTTCTGCATGTGAAGTTCATACGTTTTTCTGCAAGGGCAGATTTTGTTTTGTCTTTAAATATGATCATACTTTTTCTGTTGTTCAGAAACATCCCCCTTTACTGTTCATCCATGCATCTGCCAGAGAAACATAAGGAAATGTTCCAGTACAGAACCACCACACAAGTAAAATGTCTGAAACTCTGATTCCTGTCATTTAATGAGATGATGGATTCAGCTTATATGAAATAACTCAGACTAAGGTCATGTTATCACAATCATTGTGACTCTCTTTCAATGAGTGTCACATGATCCACAACTTCAGAAGAAATAAAAGAAAACACTATTTTCCAAACATTTGTAATCTATTTTGGACCCTGTGTCCTAACCAGTAGGGGTGCAAGCAAGACTTGAAGAACTTGGGTCAAAAGAAAATGATTTATTAACTAAAGGAAAACAAAAACAGCTGATGAGGCAGCTAAACTCCACTTACAAAACCTGGAGTAAACACTGGAGACACGTATGACACGTAGGGAGGATTGAGACGGTGAACAGACTGCACTTAATGCTCTATTGACAGGAGAAGCAAACATTTAAACAGCGGCACAAATAAACAGAAATAAACAGCTGGTGAGGAGACAAACTGGAACCAGGTGGGCGGGGCAGGACTACAGGGGAACACTGAAACAAAAGAAAGTAAACACAAGAATCTCCAAACCAAATGAAACAACACAAAAAGCACAAATAAACACAATATTTTCACATTATGTAGGTATTCCTGGAAAACAAAATGTTCACTTTTGAATATTTAGTTTTTAATTTGCAGATAGTGCTATCTACAACAGGTAAGATACTTATTGTTCAAAATCTTTCCACTTTAACAGATCTGAAGCATCACTTTCAAATTATTAATTAAAGAAAACATCTCTTTGATTGAACTTAAAATACACTGAAATTCTATAATCAATTTACACAGTAGCTCTAAAACTATAGATAAAAAAATAATCAATAGATTAATGATAAATGATTGATTAAATATTGCAGCGATGACTTAAACACTTGGGACTGTTGTGTGTAAAATTATAGTAAAGCCACAGCTGATGCTCGTATGACGGAAGAATAGTTGTTAAAATTTCAATCATTTCACCTTCCTGTGGCAATTTACCTGAAAGTTGGTATTTATTATGGAGCTTGAAATTTACATTTGACACAACAGCTTCTCCTTAGACCTGCGTAGATGAAACT